TTAGGAGCCCGCTTTTGTCGTCCTTCAGGGCTTCTTTTTTCAGTGGGTCTTGGGTTTATGGGGTTCAGGGTTTAGGATTTAGGGTTTATAGGGTTCAAGGTTTGGGGTCTAGGGTTTAGGGTTTGGAGGGTTCAGGGTTTAGGATTTAGGGTTTAGGGTCAGCATAGCAACTATACACTATAGTCGAGTACCCTATCATTTGGTATACGTCAAGCAAAGGTACAACAGGATCAATATTAAAAGCCCAAACAAGCCCCATAACCTGCCTTAACGTCCACGCACATGAGCTATAGTCCAAACTCCTAATATCCCCCTTAAGAACCCTTAGAATATTCTCCTATATAATTCTAAACCCCAAACCGTTCTGAAACCCTAAACCCTTAAGCCTATGCAACCTCCCTAAAGGAGTGCAGGTTATGTCCCACATCTGCCCGTACAGTGGACTTTGTGGTGGTCGGGGTCAAACCTGCGGTACAATATGATGGGGTAGCTTCCTTGAATAGTGTTTCGGGTCTAGGGGACCTCAATATAGACGGCCAGATCACAACGCAACACCATATTGCAGTATAGATGCTCTGAAGTTCGAGTGCGAAGTACTTAGGTCTTCCTGAACTGAATACGGCTACATAGTTTGGTTTCAAGATTACCCACGGGTGAACTGAAACAGAGAAAGGGAACTTAAAAGCTTCAGAGCCCGTTGTCTGATTTTTCTGAAGCTTGTAATTACAGACATCGGACCGGCCTCTAGGTCCAGGAATTCTGCAAGGCGCTGACCTGACGGACTGCTTGATTTGCGAATCTATGCATGTTAGATCTGCAGCAGCAACACTGCGATGGCGCCGCAGACAGTCAGTGACCATGGCTGCGACAAGGCTGACGAAGAAGGATGTCGAACATGAGCGTGACGATGAGGATGACGAAGAGGACAACGATTTGGGGAGGAGAAGGAGGAGGAGGAGCAGCAGCAGCAGGAGCAGTTTTTTTTTTGCACTATCCCTATATAACCCCCATATAACCCCAATATGAGCCCAATATAACCCTGATATATCTTAGGAGCAGGAGGAGGACTGCGGATGATGAGCACGGGACAAAGCTGCTGCAGCCCCCGACATCATCACTACTGTTGATACTAAAAATCTTGCATGACCTTAGTATACTATAGTACCATTATTCCCAAGGTATAAGGTACTTAGGGTCATGTAGGGTTTTTAGTATCCACCGTAGGAACACCAAGGTGATCAGAAGGCTGCTGCCTTCACCACCTCCAAGAACAACAATAAAGTGGAAACTACTACATTACATATGGGCTATATTAGGGCTATATTGGGTTATATTGGGATAATGGAAAACAAAATGGAAACTACTATATTACATATGGGCTATAATGAGGAATATTGAATAACGGAGAATTGTAAGGTATATATATATATATGTTTTTTTATAACTCTCTACAATAAGGTGGTTCCCTAAACCCTAAACCCTAAAACCCTAAAACCCTAAACCCTAAACCCTAAAGTTGTCTAAGGGCCCAGCCGAGGAGAAGGCTCAAGATGGAGCACGCAAGGTTGATGCTGTACGGGACCTCGACCCAAGAAGTGACCAATGAGAGGAGGCTCATTGTGCGTAAGTGGGGTTTGGGGTTTAGAATTTAGGGTTTGAGTTAAGCTTTCGAATGCCAACTTTTGGGCGCAATGTCAAGGGAGCCAAATTTACGTTTCAGCGTGCCAGTCCTTCTGACGACATGACCATCATTGCTTCTGCTGCAAGTCCTAGGCAGACAAGAAAACTACATACTGTATACTCGATTCTTTACTGTAGAGAATTATAGTACATGTACCCTATACTTAATGAACCCCTCATAGTAGGTTCCATTTTCTTCGCCGTTATTCAATATTCCTCAATATAACCCCCATATTATATGATACAATGGTTTCCATGTTATTTTCCATTATCTCAATATAGAACTTCCTGGTTCTTGACATGGTCAGGTATGTCTGTCCCAAGTTTGATGTCTGCCATGCAGTCTTAGGGTGTTTAGAGTTTAGGGTTTAGGGACCACCCCCAGCATAGGCATGATTGTACCCCACCACGCAAATCTGTCACAGGAATTATGGACTCATTTCTCGCAGATTCTTTACTTTTGGGTGCTTGACAAATTCTGTTTGGGCAGAGTGGCCTAGGTCAGTGCTCTCCTTGTTGCAAGGCCTGCAACAACTGTGCCACCCCTCTGCAGGAGGGTATCACCCGAGCTGAAAATCAATGTACTGCAGCGTCAATACTAATAGCAATAAGCATGGCAGCACTTCTAGTAATAAGAACAGTAATAATAGTAATGACAAATACATGTAGTAATACTAGTAATAAGAATATGGGCTTCAATCTTGGAAGCTCCCTCTGTATACGAAATGAGACTGGTGGCTTCTTCACGACCCCTCGCAGATCTTTAATCCCACGAGCTTTACTGCCTGGAACAGGGAAAAGGTATCTAGTGGGATCCAGAGGCCTTAAGCCCATGGAACCTGCAATACAGGGGCCTTACATTTGCCGACGTCATTTACAGGTCCATGTGAGATACCCTATACCCTAAGCCCTATACTGTAACCGTATCAGGAAACTAGAACCATGACGCTGGTAATTACACCGCTATAGTACTATATAGTCTATAAATAGTACTATAGGGGACTATTATTAGGGTTCTTAAGCGGGGTACTAGGAGTTTAGACTACGGCTCATACGATACCAATTATCAATTTCATGTTCCATGTTCTTCTCCATTATCGGGAGTTTTTGCCGCCCGCTGTCTCAAACCCTAAATAGACACTATGTAACCATAATATTGGTAAATATTCAGGCCCCCAACCCTAAACCCTAGACCCTGAACCCTATAAACCCTGAACCCTATAAACCCTAACAACCCTGAAGCCTGAACCCTCCGGGCTCCCAGGCAAAGAGGAACACGATCACCAACCACGCCGGCAGCGTGTCAGTACCGAGGCCTGCATGTGTGAGAAGCGCCTGGCACAAGCCAAGGCGCGAGATGTTTGGGGTTTAGAATTTTAGGGTTTGGAGTGTTTTGGGGTTTTGGGGTTTAGGGTTTTCGGGTTTCAGGGTTTACCCTTTAGGGTTTAGGGCTTTAGGGTTTTGGTAGCTTAGGGTTTCAAATTCGGGTTTAGCTGGTGTAGGGCTTCAGTTTATGGTGCCAGCGGACCCTACTGACATGTACAGCCTAATCTGCCGTTGCACAAGACCCATACATAGCGTAGTTGATGACATGTTGGAACGTGATAATTTTGAAGCGGGCACGCCGACTTTCTAGATACAGGGGGTATCAGGGGATGAAAGTTGTTGATCTTCAGAAATATGCAGGGATGATTCTGACAACACCCCCTACCCCCGAATTCAGAATACACTGAATCTGGCACCACTACATGCTGCGCGAAGTGTACCCCCTATGTATGAGAGGGGCTGCAAAAGGTTTACTTGATTACCCAGGAGAGCGCCCGAGTAATGAGAAAATCTACCCGCTCAGGCTTGCTTCAGACCGATAAGTTGCACGTGTAAATTCCCGACGCACTTCAAGCTCATGGCCCCGCAAAGGCGATATTGTCTGCGGTCCTTGTCCTTTGCAAAGTCAGGGGCACAGAATATATGATGCCTTTGGAGAGGAACCCGCAAGGCATCCAATCCGCCATGACCCGAGGTGTAATGACCTGCAATCATACCTGGACATTTGGCGCCCCTTTCCTATAAGAACACACTCTTGACGCCCTGCTTCATTTTGCGGCTGTTGCCTGCATTGCTAATGTTCGGTCTAATGGAGGTCCGTTCAATCCACCGGGAGCACTCCGAGCTTGAGTAGCAAAATAAATCCGGTTTGAAAATGGCGGCCCTTGCTCGCCTGTTGTGACACGGCGCCGAGCTTTCACGCAAACACCGTCTGGACAGACTCTGCATGACAAGTAAATACTAATCAGCACAACATCACCCACGACCATGCTAACCTAAGATAGGGCACAAACTCCTACGCGTAACCCAGCTGCTGCGTCTTAAGCAATAGCGCAGCCCGAGGACTCGAAGGGGTACCTCACTCCAACCTGCCTTCGGAAGCTGTCCATGATCTTCCTGGATTTCGGTTATATTGGGATGATGGAAAAGAAATGGAAACTACTAGCTATAGGGTTTAGGGTTTAGGATTTAAGGTTCAGGGTTTAGGGTTTTGGGGTATAGGGCTTAGGCATCGTGGAGAATCGAATGGAAAAGAATGTGGACATTTGCAGTGGAAGCTTCCGTTCAAGAATTTCGGGTTTTTGGGCTTGGGTTGAGCGTTCGGGGTTCGGGGTTCAGAACTCTGGGTTAGCTTCAGAGTTGTGGGAAATATCTTTCCTACAATCAAAGAAAATCTCACCACTTACCTTTGGTTAGCTAGGAGTGAAGGAACAGATCCTTACAGCATAGTAGTCCCTATAGAACCCGCTGAGGACCCAAATAGTCCAATGTAGGTAATATTTACCGACTTTGTGCCCAATGTCGGTATTATTTGTATATTTGGATCCCAAGGGGCCCATTGAAGTAGTTTCCATGTTTTTTCCATTCCTTCATTCCCACCCTAAACCTTAAACCCTAAACCCTCAGCCCTAAATGGTAGTAGTTTCCATTTTCTATTCCATTCCTTCATTCCCAGCTAACCAGAGGCCAGACCAAACATCTGTTTAGTGTTTCGGGTTTAGGGCCTATGAGGGTTTCCCGAAGTTATGGGATTTAGGGGTTCTACAGGAGTTATATACGGTTTAGGGTCCTCGCATTCTTGGGTGAGAATCGCAAGATCCACAATCTTAGGTTCGGATTGGCGGCACACCTCTTTCCATTCCGCCAACGATGGAACCTGAAAACCTATAACAACTGACCATTTCTGCTTGAATTACTCTACAGCACCTGCTTCTGGGAACACCCCTATCCCATACATTGAAAGGCCCTTGATTTACTCAGATCAAGCAAGTTGCGCGATGACCAGGCTCTCCTCCAACGGATATTCTGGACACTCCAGCTTGCCTTCCTGGATGCACTTCTCAATTGCCTCAACCTGATGGACCATTCCTTCTGAGTGCGGGTAGTTCACACTCAGTCCAGGTAGCATCTTTGGCAAGGGCGAGTCTAAGCTTTCACTGGTCAAGTCCCCACGCCCACCAGATGACCTGAAGATAGTTATGCGTGTGGGAGTGTGGGCTGGCCCTTCAATGCGGATGTAGCCTCGGTCGAACATGATCACGGAGTTTTCTGGCGTCACAGCTCGAAGCGTGTACATCAGACTTGCAGACCCCTTGTCCTTCCAGCAAAGAGAAAGTGAGCCCTCGCTGTCCACGCCTTCTTCAGTCAGCATGGCTGTCCCTTGCATGGAGTCTGGCATTGATGCTCCATAGACCATCGTTGCTACCTGCACCAAGTAGATGCCGATGTCCAACATGCCGCCACCTGCCTGTGCTGGGTCCATGAGCCGGTGGCTTTTGTCCGTCGGCCCTATGAAGCCGAAATCCGCCTGCACAGCTCGTGGCAGTCCGAGGCTTCCATCCGCGATCAGTTCCCTGACTTTGCGGATAAGTGGGAAGAAGCGAGTCCACATGGCTTCCATGAGGAACAAGCCCTTGGCACGGGCTAGCTCGACAATTTCACGTGCCTGCTCTTCATTCACAGCCAGCGGCTTCTCACACACCACATGCTTCCCAGCATTCAGCGCAAGTTTTGCATGAGGCAGGTGCATAGTGTGAATCGTGCCGACATACACGACGTCCACATTCGGGTCTGACACCAGGCTTTCGTAGGATCCATGCGCCTGCTTTGCCTTCACCTTCTCGGCCAAGACTTGCGCCTTTGACAATGAGCTTGCCCCAATGGCTGAGATGGAGCCACCTGCCATGACGATGCCTGCCACAGGGCTGCGCATTCTGACCCCTTGCAGCAGGACCTGCTGACATGCCTGATATATTGGAGTTAGGTTGGGATAATGGAAAAGAAAATAGAAACTATTATGTAGTACACTGGTGTTATATAGGGATAATGAAAAATGGAAACTGCTATATAGTAGCCACCTAGTCCTTACCCTGACGTACAAAGAATGCAAGTACCTGCTCTGGAATATCCTAGAATTCCCTAAACCCTAAAACCTAAACCCTAAAACCTAAACCCTAAAACCCTAAACCCTAAAACCCTAAACCAGGTACAAGTACCTACTCTGGAAGGTCCTAGAATTTGCTGAGTAGCTGCCAGCCTGAACCGGCAGCCCAATACACCCCACACACCCTACAATCCTTAAAGGACCAGTAATAATGCGAATAGAAATATTACATGATAATATCAAGAATGATAACCACAGCAGTAGCAGTAGTAGTAGTAGTAGAAGAAGTAGTAGCAGTAGTAGTAGTAGTAGTAGTAGTAGCAGTAGCAGCAGCAGTGTTAGTAATAGACTACAATTCTTTTTATCCTTATCCTAGACCCTAAATAGTAGCTTCCATCCTCTTTACCAGTATCCCTGCACATCCCCAATATAACCCCAATACATCTTTATTTTGGAAGCCCTTGAATATTCCCATGTCTCCCTCACGCCCCAGGTCCTGTAGCAAAGTCATTGCAGATGCCCCCTGCTCCCAGGATGCCCCAACCTGGGTCGCTGTTAAGGAACTGAAATTGAACTACTATATGGGTTTAGGGTTTAGGGTTTATAATAATGAAGATACCCTATTAATGATGGGTTTAGGGTTTTAAGTCGGGATACTCTACTATTTATGGCTTAGGGTTTAGAGTTCAGGATAAAGCCTAAGGCTCCCAGCTACCTAAATAGTAAGGTACTGGGATATAGAACCTAGAACCCATTATGTAGGAAGATTGGAGCCCTAGAGTAAGTTACTATTGTAGGGATCTTCTTTTATTTAGAGCTTAGGGTTTCGGATGAGGTTACTATAATGAGGAAACCCCATGTTTTAGGGTTTAGGGTTTAGGATGAAGTTCCTATAGTTCAAGAAGGAAACCCTATTTTCCAGGGTTGAGGGTTTAGGATTAGTCTACATTGATTTTCTATCCACCCATATTATGGTAACTTAATTTAAGTTCCTTAACACTATATATCCGTATACACCCCCACATAACCCTTCTATATTCTGATAGCTTAGTTTAAGTTCCTCAACAGCAACCCAGCAACGTGGTCTGCTCGGAGCTGACGCCATGGCTCCAGGCAACTGGGCTGACACGCTGACAAAGATGGAGCAACCCCAGTACCAAAGCCTGGAGTAAATTCTAATTAGGGTTTAGGGTTTAGGGTTTATAGTCTCCCTTGAGTGGATAGAATATGGAATTTTTCTATTCTATGGTATCATCCCCATATTCTACTCACTTAAGGGGGACTATATGTCTACAAAGTCGTAAGTAAGTATAATGGTCATTATTCTTATTATGGCTGATTGTTATCAGTTATGAGAGAGGACTACAAAGACCATGAGCAATAAGAATACGAACCGTCTCAGAGTCTGCTGGGCCTGAAATGGCTCCATGTGAGGGACAAACCATGCATTCTTCTCATGGCCTACGGGTGCTTAAGGGGGAGTGGGGGAAGTGAAAATAAGTATATACCATTATTATAGGCTATAATACGGGTATGTAAGGATTGTATGGGGTTTATTGTCACCCCCGCCCCCCACTCTCCCTTAAGCACCAGTAAGATGTTTTAGTGACGGGATTTCCAAGTCCGCCATACCTTACTGACATGTTCATGAGTGAGTAGTAACGTACATCAGACTGCAACTGCCCTAGCTTGGATCATAAACTATGCGCGCCCCTGTTGGATTCCTTGCAGATACCCTTGAATCAACGGAGGCCCTGAGTCTATGAACAAAAGCTACGTGCTGCACCTAAAGTTTCAAAATGGCGCTTACAGGGCGTGGTAGGGGTCGCATGCCAAAAGGGTGCAGGAGACGATATCCAGATTGCTCCTTGCTGTGGGTCGGGAAAATATCACGCCACCTTATATGGTATATTGGGGTTATATTGGGATAATGGAAAATAAAATGGAAACTACTATATTGGGTTATATGTAATATATTACATGTAACCTGCACCGAGTTTGCAGAAGGCAACGTGTTGCGAGCGGAATCCCGGAAGTTTAAACCCCATGCAGAGACTGCGAAAACCCTGCGCAAGGCATACCCCTGAGGCTCCCAGTTACCTAAATAGTAGGTTACCGGGCTATACGAGCATAGGGTATATAGAAACTAGAACCCATGATTTAGGTAACTGGAGCCCTAAGGTACACTTACTGGTGCTTTGCACAACTGTCGCTGTGCGCACTTGGACGCCTCCACGGTGGTTGGAGGGCTGGGATTCGGCGAGGTGCTGCCAGAGGTCCCAGGCTCGCAGTTCCCGAAAAAGAAAATGGGAACTACTATAGGGTTTAGGGTTATATAGGGATAATGGAAAAGAAAATAGAAACTACTATACAGTGTATAGGGTTTATATAGGGATAACGGAAAAGAAAATGGAAATTACTACAGTATAGTATAATAGGGTAGATTGGGGGTATACCAACTTCTTCACATATTCTTACTGTTTTTACGTTGACTTCGAGTATTCGTATTGTGACTATTATTACTGTTCTAACTGTTATTACTATTAAGTAGAGAACCTATGTTGGAGCGTGCATTTCGCAACCTGACAAATCTATCAGCATTGGCTGGACAGTCAGAACTCATGAAAGCCTTGAACCTTGTTGGTTCTCAGTAGGGAGGAATAGAATCCCTATATAATCCCTGCATGATATGGGTGGTGGTCAAAATTATGGTCCCTGTTTGGCTACCCTAAATATTAGGGGCCGTACTATAATAGGGATCCAAAAAGGGGCCATAATTTTGACAACCACCCATATAATCCCTACATGATATATTCCCTGCATCCAAAGCCCTAAACCCGAGCCTCACACAGGAAGTTGAACAGAACAGCTATGAGCAGGCCGGTTGTCACAACGCCATGAACCTCATAGTCATGCTCTGCTTTTGGGGTTTAGGGGATATACCCTATATAACCCTAAATCCTAGGCCCGTAACCCTATACAAAGGGTTTAGGGTTTGGGGTTTAGGGTTTAGGGAGTTTCCATATTCCATTATCCCCATTTAACCCAATATTGAGACCCCAATATACTACATGTGTTTCCATTTTCTTTTCCATTATCCCCAGTTTAGGGTTTAGGGGGCTTTCTGGATCCTACTTCTTAGCAGGCCTGCCTATGAGCCAACTCCTTACAGGGGGGTATTTAGGGGACTATATATAGGGGACCACTATAGGGGTTATTAAGGGGGAAACTTGGGACTAGGAGTTTAGACTGGTATGGCTTGCCAAGTTTTGGGGATTACGTGGACTTCATTTCTTGGTCTTATTCAACAACAATCCGGCAAGAGTCCGATGTCCATCCTCCTGAAACCTTAGATGCCTCGTATGACGTATTAAACCGTTGAGCAGATGGGTAGTTCCTAACATTAGGGCCCATTTGGTAACCCTAAGTATCCGTTGCCGTGCTACATTTTGTAACCAAGAAAGGCCCATAGTTGTGAGAATAAACCATGTACAAACCACAGATCGATTTTGAGTGAAGCCCAATGCAAACCTGGAACTGCCGGCGTGCGCAAGGATCTGACTCGAATTAAGTGTCTTGCTTTTTGCTGTCTCCATCCTCGTTTAGGTTGCTTCAGTTTGTTCTCCGTAAATCCTTTGTCAAATACACTACACCCTCAGAGCAGCCAACCCGGAACGTCGCTGACTCCTAAAGCACAACCGGCATAAACCACTAAAACCCTCAACTCCCAAACGGTACCCCTAAGCACACAAAGCCCAAACTGCAAACTCCGAAACCTCGAACACCTAAATCCCGAACCAAAAAACAAACTAAGCTTATGGCACCGACCTCCTCCTAAACCAAAAACCCTATAAACGCTCAAAGCCCTAAGCCTAGACAAGCGCAAAGCCCAAACTGCTGAGGCCCCAAGGCCTTAAACCTAGGCACCTGGGTGGTGTTTTTGACGATTGAACTGAGTAGTATCTACTCTTCTTATCAAAATACTTGTATGATCTTACTCTATACTAGGGACTACAGTATCTCCCTAAACCCTAAACCCTGAACCCTCAAACCCTAACTCCCTTTTAAAAATCTACTCGCCTGGATCTTCGGGAGCTGAAGACGCAGTGCCCCCTGCAGTCCTATGCCGGCCAACACAGCCAGGACCTCAGAAATTATGAGCTTCGTATCATTACTGCTACTATTATGCTTCTTATTCCCATTTTGACTACTAGTATTCTTGCTATGGTTACGATGATTACGATGATTACGCTGGCTATTATTGGCACTATTATGAATTCTGAACTAATTCTTCTGGGTTGCTGTTAAGGAACTTGATTTAAGTCACCATAACCTGAATATATAGTAAAGAATAGGCCTTCACTACTATAGTAGCGTAACTTCATTTTCTTAACAGCAACCCAGTTTCTTGCCTTGAGGGTCTGCAGTTCCAGATATAAAATAGTGCCTCGGAGAATCCTCTCAAATATGTTAAGACTGCTTACAGACCAGCTGGCCAACTTCGACGCAATAGGGTTTAGGGTTTAGGGTCTGGGCTCAAGATGTAGGCGCGGTACATGATTCCTGCAGGGTCTGTCAAATTTTCATGCACCTGCTGAGAGGAAGAACGAGATTTCTACAGGCTTTGCGATGTTTACATGATGGTGTTTCATTGTGCAAGGAAGAATGACTAACATATCAATTGTCAGGATCAAAGTCTTACGAGTATTCGGCACAAGAACAATGGAAATATTGCGCTCATCCAGTCCTCGTGAGCTGTTCAATGCGTTCCTGTTTGTTGTTCGAAGCCGTGATTCCTCAGCAGTAGGGCTTGCAGGGCTGAATGAGAACACCTGGCTGTGACATTGAACCCACTCAGCTCCTCATGATAAAATGTCTTACATGGGTGTAAGGTTTAGGGTTGTAGTTGAAATTGTTGGGAGTGGCTCAGGGTGCTACCCGGAGTCTCCTAGGTAGTTCATTTTGGGTACAGGATTTGAAGCCCCCTTCCAAATTTCAAAAATGCCACAACACCCTCCCCCCCCACCCCACACACACAAAATGGAGACCCCCTCAGGTACAATTTGGATTTTCCTGATGTTGTCGGGTTAGATATCCAACTGTACTCAAGGCTGGCTCGCATGCAGCACCTCACTCAAGTGGGGATGTGAGCGTCGAAGCTCTGTGTTTCCTATAAGGCTTCAACTATGTGGAGGCAGTGAAAAGTACCTAGGGCCACACAAAAAGCAATCTCAAATATCCCTAATCTATCTCAAGCTCCCCATCCTTAACATATTGTTCGATGGCACAAGTGGCAAGGCTCAAGATGAACGTCTCAGTCTGCGTTCTTCGGGGTTTTCAAGACCCAGCGGTTCTTTGGCAACCTGGGGTGTGTGTATGGATCCCTCTTAAGGACTGCTTGCTGATCTTGGGAGAACGTCCTACGTAAAACTACGACGTACAAAATAGCGCGCTGAATTTCTGCTCGTCCGGAAGTCTGGCACATTTCGCAAGTTCGGGCTTACCCACCTCTCCAGCTGAAAAGCGTAAGGAACCATCACGATGCGTTTGCATGCCATGCATTCCTGCTCTAGGTTTCCAACTTCCTTTTGCGAGACATCCTCAGCCACTTCTCCTTGGGGCCCTTATCGGGGAAGCTCGCCTCAGATTCTCGCACAACTTCAAAGCCTGCGCTCTTGTAGCAGTGCTGGCCCTTAACGTTGGCTTCCAGGACAGATAGAGATGTGGTTTCGAATGGCCAGTTGCGGGCACTAGCAACCTCGGCGTGTGTGGAAGCCCTATCATGGACTAATGTCTATTTGAAACCTTATTGTTTTTGATTCCTTACCATTTACGGTGGATGCTCCCTACTCCATATGCTAACCCTTCACGTATACAACTTTACCGTTCTTGTTTATTCCTCACTGTTTTTTCTGTGAATCTGCAAGATAGGGCCGCTCTTTCTGAAATGTCTACAGCGTTTTTTTTACCAAGCCCACCTTCTCTGCCGCCTCTAGGAGCATTTTACCAACACCTTTATTCTGGTGCTCCGTGTCGACCTTCAGGTAGCCGATATTCAGCTTCAACTCCTTGGTAACACGGTAACCATATTATCATGAGGGTACT